GTGCAGGACTGGGCACAGCAAATCCCAGCTCCCCAGAGGACACACAGCTCAACTCCCATCCGGAATTACTCCGAGGACACACAGTCAGGATACAACCAGGACTCACTTCCAGAACACCTCCGCAGGATTTTCCCACCAGTTCCACCCTTGTGTTGCACACATAGCAGATAAAAGGAACTGGCCGCCCGTCAGCTCGTGTGGATTTATGGAAAGGGAAGGGGAACATGGAGCCACTGTCCCAGGCTGGGAGAAGCCCGGAGTCAGTGCTGGCACGGGGACCTTCCTGCCTCTCACCTGAGCGCTGCCGGGGTCCTCCTCCGTGCCAGGGGTTCCACTCTCTCCCTCTTGGCTCTGTTTTGAACCAGCCCTAGATTCCACCTGGGAGTCCTTCTCCTGCTGGGATGAGCTCCTCCCACTGCCTCCCTGTCCATCCGCTCCGGAGCTGCCGCTCCCTCCTCTCCCCTGGGTGCTCTCTGCTGCGGGCTGGGCTGGTTTGGAGGGGGTTTTCTTGTCCCCCCCCGCCTGGCCCTCGGCTCTGGGGGGGTTCTGCTCCCCCCCTTTGCCTGGGGAGGGCTCGCTGCTCTTCGCTGGGGCCCTGGCCTTGAAGATATCCGGGATAGACACCACTGCCCTCAGGAGGGTTTTACCCACAGCGGGCTCCTTCAGGGACAAAAAGGGGTTCAGTGGAGCTCCCGGGTGGCTTCTGTCAGGGTTTGCTGCTCCTGTCCCTTTGTTTTGGTGGCTTTTCACCGAACTTTCCGCGTTGCTCCCACCGACGGCACTTGGAGCATCTTCCAGAGCAGCCCCAGCCTTGGCTGCTGCTTTTCCAAGCTGCTTCTCCAGCTCTGCCCCAGCCTTGCCCAAGAGCTTCCCGGGGTTCTCCTCTGCAGTGTGTCCAGCTTTGAGCACACCCTCCTCTGCTCCAGCCACATCCAGTCTCTTCCCTGGGGCCTCCCTGGTTTTAGGGACAGGTTTCCTCTCGGCCACCGGAGCTCCAGACGTTTCAGGGTTGGTTTTCCCAGCCTCAGGAACAGGGCTCTTCCCAGGAGCAGCCAGCTCATTGGCTGGCTGGGTGACAGCAGGTGACACCGTGTCCATGGGAGCCCCCTCAGCCCTGGGGGACACCTCTCCAGGGCTGGCTCCCGCTGGCTCCCCGGCTGCTGGGATCACCCCACAACCTGCTGGATCCCCCTCAGCCCTGCTGGACGATCCCAGTGCTTCCATGGCAGGGGCAGACGACTCTTCATCCCCCTCTTTGCTTCCCTTCTCCAGTAGCTTTGGTTCAGGAGGAGTTTTAGGAGCCTCTTCCGTCCCTGCACTGGAAGGCGGCAGCGGCTTCTCCTCCGACCTCTCTCCAGGTGATTTGGTGCCAGCAGGTTTCACGGGAACACCAATCCCAGTATCCGTGTCCTCCACAGCCGTCTGGGCCAGGCTTCCAGGTGATTCCCTCGCTGCTCCTCCCGGCTGGGGCTCGGGGGGCTCCGTCTGTGCCGCTGGAATCTCCTCCGTGCCACTGGAGGCGGGAATGGCTCCTCTCTTTGCCCCCCTGGGCTCTCCTGGTGGATCAGCAGCTGCTCTTGGCACCACTCCTGATCCCTTGGGAGATTTTTTCGAGCCAGTGCTAAATGCATTTAAAAGAAACAGAAGAAATCAAACCATGTTGAGAATTCTACACTTACAGAACCCTCCTGGCGGGGCCTGTCCTGCGCCCGGCACTGGGGATTGGGCTGGTGCTGCCAAACATGAGGTGAGGAATGTGATGGTGCTGAGAACTCTCCTCAGCACCCCGAGGGCAGGATCGTGGGCAGGACTGTGGGCAGGCCCCGTTCCAGGAGTGCCCCGGGACCTCAGGGCTCACACGGCCCCCCAAAATTCACATCCCGGAGTGGGAAAGTGAATGCACAGTGAAAACAAAGCTCCAGTGCCTCTGGATTAAGGAATGAGCAGTTTGGCTCTGTCTCCAGACGGGGCAGTTAGCAGCCCGGAGAGCTCTGCCAGGAGCAGCAGGTTTGGGTCTGGGCTCAGTTTTTGGGAAGGGAGGGGTTGCTCTGGGTTTAAACCACGCTGACCTCGCACAAGAGGCACAGAGGCTCCCTCGGGCTCTGCTTTCCCTGGATAACCCACTGCCAGCCCTAGGGTGACACAGCCCAAGGTGCCAACACAGAGAGCATGGAGCTCCTCAGAGAACTCCTGAGACACAACGGGTGTTTTTGTTCTCTGAAGGAAAGAATCCCCCACGGGGATCTTGGGAGACACTGGAGTTAGAGATGCCTGTTATCCCACAGAGCTCCAGCAGAGGAGCATCCAGTACCTCCCAGTTCAGTCAGAACCCCCAGCAAGGGATGGAGCTGGACAGAATGGACTCAGCTCAGGGAAGGGTTAAGCCTGGAAGTGGCCAAGGTGAGGGATAAGGAGATGAAGAGACAAACACGGAACAACAGGAAGACTCAGTAAGAAGAGGAAGATTCCGCAAGAACAGGTAAATCCATTCAGATGGTGCAAACACCAGCTCCAAGGGAGGGTATGGAGACAAAACATATGGAGAGAGGAGAAAGGATGGGAATTCCACTCCCAGACCCTTCCCAGCACCAGTGTAACACTGGATATGGATAAGCCCTGCCTGTCACCAGGGGCAGCAGGGCTGGGGACACTCCTGCCCTCAGTCCCTCCTCTGCTCTCCAAGGGCTTGGCCCCCTGAGCCAGGACACAGAAGGGATTCTGACATCAATGAAACATTTCTGTTTGTGCCCATGGATTTTCCTCTTCTGTCTGAGCATCTTCCACTGGGATTTCCTGAAGTCTCCCCTGCCTGTGGAGCAGGGCACGACCGGGGGCAGACAGAGCCCAAAGTGCAGATCCAGGCCCAGGGTTAGACTTGAATTAAATAAAGCTCCAGCCCTGCCCTGCCCTCACAGCCTCTGCTGAGGCACTTCTGGGAGGGAATGGAGCAGTGCCTGGGAACAAGGATGACACACCAAGCACAGGGCTCAGCACAGCTGGATTATCACAGCTCCAGTGAGGCATCACCCCCCGAATCCTGAGGGGGAAAAACACCCACCCTGGGCCTTCCCAGGGCCTTGGGGGGCCCCAAAACCCACCTGTGGGCTCAGACCAGGCTGAGGGGCAGAGAGGGATGGGCAGAGGGACAGGAGGGACCCCCAGGAAGCATCCAGAACACTGGGATCACTGCCAGGCACTGCCTGCACAGGGATGTGAGGGGTGAATCCAGCCCCTGCCCCAGCACAGAGCCTGGGCCACATCCTGCTCCATACCTGCAAACCAGGAGTACAGGGAGCAGTGGGATCAGCCAGGAGTCACAACCTGGAGAAGAATCCCCAGGACAACAAATCCCAAACAATGGCAGCCAGGAAAGCACATCAGTGCTCAAACCAAGTGTGAGGAATTCCCAGCTCAGGGGAACTTCCAGAGGTTCTTCAGCCCCTTCTGCTCCCCGAATTTCACTAATCCCTCCCTCTCCAGAAACACAGGGAAGGGCTTCGGATCTGTAATAATATTTAAGATGTTTTCTGCTTCTTATGAAATGAACTAAAGGAACGGAGTCCCAAAGGCTCAGAGGGAGAAGACAAGGAGAGCGTGTGGAGTAGGGAATTTGGAGGGGAAAAGGGCAGCTTTCCATGAGTTCAGCAGCCACAGCAGGGCTGGGATTCATGGAAGAGTCACCTGATCATCAGGAATTAACTGCACTAGTTAAAGCACACCTGGCTGGAACCAAAAAGGTTCCCTGTGTGGCTGCAAAGCTGAGAGGAAGAGATGGTTTGGGAACTGAATGTTCCCAAAATGGAGGAGTTTCACGGAATAAGGAATGACAACTCGACTTCTGAAAGGAATAATGTCTGAAAATATAGAGCAGTGTATACAGAGAGAGAGTATAATGGCATGACTTGAAATTTAGGACCATCATCACACACTTTTGGGGGTTTTTAACAACAAAACTTTTCCAGAAATACGGGTTTGAGCGACAGAAAGTGATTTAAGTCATATTTGTTAACAAAAACTTGTAATGCTCTATCCATTTACAAAACAAATCATGATCAGAACTACAACCAACAAACAGTTACTCCACAAACAGAAAGTTTACTACAACCAGCATCCATAAAACAGCTTGAAATGGCACAAAGCAACCCCATTTCTGGGTCCTGGTGTTCTAGAGCAGACAAACACTTCTATAAATCACTTCAGGACCTGGATCACAGCGTGAAGTTCATGTTAATAAGTTAAACAAGGAAGTTTCAGTGCATTTTTAGCATTTGGAAACAGAAAGAACAGAGCCAGGGGCTGTGACAGAGGGAGGAGCTGCAGGATGAAAGAAACCCTCGGGAGTTAAACACCCCCCAAATTCTCTCACCAACACGTGGAGCCAGACACACCTGCCAGGCCCGGGGGGAAAACCCTGGCCAGAGCAGCAAAACAGTGACAAAAGAGGATTTCCTCCTGTTTTCCATGGGTTTGGAATGCAATCCCAAACACTGGCTCTGCAGGGACACACAGAGCACACGGAGGGAGGAGCAGCAGGACACGGCTGGGGGAGCTCCCAGCAGGATTTTCCATGGAGCTGGGCTGGAGAGAGGCTCAGCACCCCCCAGATCATGGACAGGGCATTCCAAGGAAAGGGAGACACAACCCCCCAACACTTGCAGGCCATACCTTGCTCTGCTCCCTTCCTCTCTCTTCGGGTCTCTCTTCTCAGCTTCAGCCTGAAAGGCAAAACCCAGGGTCAGGATTCAGCACTTCCAGAGGCTCCAGCATTCCAGAGCCCACCACCCCAAACATGGGAGATCAAAGCACAGGGAATTGTTCCACAGCCCAGGGCAGGGATTCCCTGAGCTGACACTGGAGGGGATGGCACAGCACTCTGCAGACAGTGGCACAGCACTCAGGGTTTGTGTCCCTTCAGACACAAAGAACACCAGACTGTCTCAAACTCATTGGGAGCAGAACTGGCTCTGGGTCCGGGATACACCTGGAGGAGAGGGATGTTCAACACTCCTCTGCCCACACAACACCTTCTTTGCTCTACTGTGAGGATGTGAATGGCTGCAGAGCTCAGGGGGAACATGTTCTTGCCCTTTTCTTCTCCTTCTCCTCCTCCTCCTTCCCCTTCTTCTCCTTCCCCTTCTCTTCCTCCTTTCCCCCCTTCTTCTTCTCTTTCTCCTCTTTCTTCTCCTTCTTCCCTTTCTTCTTCTTCTCCCCTTTCTTCTTCTTCTCTTTCTCCTCTTTCTTCTTCTTCTCTTCTTTCTTCTCCTTCTTCCCTTTCTTCTCCTCCTCCTTCTTCCCCTTCTCTTCCTTTTTATTACTGATATTATTATTATTATTAAGCAAACAGCCACACACCTTCTCTAACAAATTACACCCCAAGCTGAGCAAGTACCTACAAGACCCCCAGGCCAGTCCCTATCCCTTAAATCCAGCCATTCCCTGCAGGATGACTGTGTGTTCCTACAGAATAAACTCCTGGATTGGCTGTTAAATGAAATAAGGTCTCCTGAAAAAGGCACCACAACCAAAAAACCCTTTAATCCTCAGTGCTGAGATCTCCACCTCCTTTCCAAAGGCACTTCCCAAACTCACTGCAGACAATCAGGATTAGGAAGAGCAGAATTCACTTTTATTTATGGATGTGATTCCAAGGCCTTCAGTTTTCTGTAAACGTTTATCCCAGAGAAAAGTGCCCAAAGTAACAAGAGTATCTTCTAAGGAATTAACAACTACTTGGTTTTTTCTCCAGAATCTGACTGAAAGGTTTCCAGAGGAATTAACCTCATGTTCCTTTGAGTCCCCAGGCACACAGCCCAGACTCTGGCAGGGAATGGAGAAGATGGACAAGAGGGAACAGACTCCAAATGCAGTGAAGGAAAACAGCTGGGAAAAAAATCAGTTTTCCCTCTTCTCAGGCATTTCTGTCTCCCCCTCAGTTACAGACAGAAATAAAGCCCTGAGTTTAACCCCAAAGCACAGGCTGGCTGTGACACTGGGGCAAAAGCTGTGACAGGGCACTGCCAGCAGGGAATGATCCTGTGCTCCAGTGGCACATCCTCCTTCCTGCTCCAACACTTCCTCCCTATTTTTGGCATTTCAGCACTAATAAATTCAGACACTATCAGCAAAATTCCAGAAATCCAACTCTAAAGGGATGGAGCAGCACTTCCATGGCTGCTCCCCCTCCTAAATCAGCTCTAAGTGCCCCAAAACATGCAGCTGGGAAGAAATGCTTGGAAAACAGGGTGGGAATGCCCTTCTTTGTTGGCACTGACTTCGGATGAAACATTCCCAGGGACAAAGGGATGTTCTTCTGTCACTCCAGACACAGGGAGCAGCTGGAAAAGCAGATTTGAATCACTCTGGTGGATGTTCCTCATTGTGAGGACTACAAGGAAGGGTCTTTTCCTTATTTTTCAAGTGCTAAGGGAGCTTATTCCTTACAATTATTAGACTTGAGTAAAAGCTTCTTAAGGATTTGTTAATTTTCCTCAGCTACAAAGTTCAGGTAATGAAAGATGTGGAAAAAGGAGGGAGGGGAAAAGTGGGACTATCCTGAATTCAGGTTAATTAATTGCTCCTAAAGAGGGAACTGCAGCACTTCCACCACGGATGAGGGGTCAGGACAGGATGGGAAGAGCTGGGAAGGGAGCTGGAGCCTGTTTTCCCTCCCTGTGGAAGAAAAGGATGGATGCCCTTGTGGTCATTTGGAACTTTCTCCTGTGAATAAAAGTGAAGGCAGAAACCAGAACGTCCAGCACATCCTGGTGTGGGAATTGGGATCCCAAAGGCATGGGAAAGGGAACAGCAACACCCAGGGAATGAGAGCTCCAGGAAGGAATTCACAGGGATAATCACCTACTGTGTCCTGGGGAGCCAGGCTGGGAGAGCTGGGGGGGTTCCCCTGGAGAAGAGAAGGCTCCAGGGAGAGCTGAGAGCCCTTTCCAGGGCCTAAAGGGGCTCCAGGAGAGCTGGAGAGGGACTGGGGACAAGGATGGAGGGACAGGACACAGGGAATGGCTTCCCACTGCCAGAGGGCAGGGATAGATGGGATATTGGGCAGGAATTCCTGGCTGGGAGGGTGGGGAGGCCCTGGTCCAGGTTGCCCAGAGAAGCTGTGGCTGCCCCTGGATCCCTGGAAGTGTCCAAGGCCAGGTTGGAGCACCTGGGACAGTGGGAGGTGTCCCTGCCCATGGCAGGGGGTGGCACTGGATGGGCTTTGAGGCTCCTTCCCACCCAAACCATTGCAGGATTCCATCCCAGAGCACAGACTGGCTGATCCAGCTCCAGCTGCTGGACAGTCCCATCCCCAGCAGCAGATCCCGAGGGAGCAGTGGCAGTGCCAGCCCAGCTCCCTGGGCACAGGCTGTTCCATCCCAGCTCCCTGTTCCATCCCAGCTCCCTGGGCACAGGCTGTTCCATCCCAGCTCCCTGTTCCATCCCAGCTCCCTGTTCCATCCCAGCTCCCTGGGCACAGGCTGTCCCACCCCCCCGAGCCCCGGGGCAGACAGAGCAGGAGTTACCTGGGCAGGGTCCCCCCTTGGGGACAGGGAGCAGCTGAGGGTGTGCTCCCCCATGCTGTAGGGGTACTGCTGCAGGAAGCTGTGCATGGAGCGGGCTGACCTGGGGGTGTCCAGCTGCAGGATGGCCTGGAGGGAACAGAGCACAGGCTGCAAACAGCTGAGATTCCTCCCCTTCCCTGCTCCTGAACAGACCCAGCAAAGCACCTTCCCTGCTGGGACCTCCCACCTTTCAGCCACGAGGGTTTTGTAAAGTCACCTTTAAAAAGTTCCAACCCGTGGCCTGAAGCTGAAAACAAACTCAGGTTTCGGTTGGATTTTTAGATTTACACATGAAAATATGAAAACTAAATAAAAAAGCAGAGCGAGTCACTGCCTTTGAAATGTCCCAAAACAAAAATTTCAGCAATTCTGACATTTTCACTCCTCCTCAGAAATTCATTTTTTTCCCAGGTTTCCCCCATGAAAAACCTAATATTTTCCCCTCCCCAAAAGGTCCTTTGCAGAATTTATTTAATGTGCTTACCTTGTTTTTATTCTTCAGCACAACATAATGGTCGACTTTCCCGAAGCGAAGCCCCACACAAACCACCTCCAGCTCCCTGTATCCATCATCTGGCAAATTCCCAAGGTGCACAAACTGGTTATGGATGGATTCAGTGTTTACCTAAAAAAAAAAAAAAGGGATGGTAAAACCTGCTTTAACCTTGGCACACATTTTTTGGGGCAGAAGAGCCTCAGAGACACCTCATTCCCCAGGCAGTGCCCAGGAACATCAAATAAATCCCAGGATTTTGGGAGGATCAAAGGGACACAAAGGCACCAGCAGACTCCTGAAATCCCACATAAGTCTGACCTTTTATATTTGGAAGTTGGGTGTGTTTTGCAAACACTGATTCCCAACAAACTGGAGCAGTTTTGTCTGTACCCAGGAGAACCATAAGGAGGGAGCAGATCTCCCCAGGAACATTCCCAATGGGAAATTCAAGCCTTTGGGGTTCCTTGGGAGGTGATTTATTGCTGGCTTTAACCAAAGCCTTCTGTCACTGCTGTTCTTGGAGTCACTCCTGGGGGCTCCTGTGCCAACATTCCCACAGCTCCATCCCCAGGGACTGACCCTCCATCCCCAGGGACTGACCCTCCCTCCCCAAGGACTGACCCTCCATCCCCAGGGACTGACCCTCCCTCCCCAAGGACTGACCCTCCATCCCCAGGGACTGACCCTCCATCCCCAGGGACCGACCCTCCAGCAGGAACAGCCTGGAAATGCCTTTCCCAGCAGAAATAAAAATACAATTTAAGTCAGCTGTACCTGCACTGTACAGAAATGCTGTGTATGTTCATTCCCAGCTTCCAGGAAACATTTAACTCAAGAGGAAACTGAGACAACAGTTCAGTTCCCAATATTTCAGTAGGAAGGACACTAATGCCAATTAAATTAAGGGATTGGAGAGTATGTGGAGGAAAGGTTGGGAGTAACTCACCTGAGGGTCAGAATCTTTAATCAGGGCAGTAAATATGGCTTCCTTCAAAAAGAAGAAAGAGAAAAGGTAAGATTTGAGCTGTAAAATACAGTCACTGACTCCCCACAAACGATTAATTTGGGCTTTATTACTCAAACCAACACCTCCCTGCCCCTCTGCTCCTCTCACACCACACCAGCACCCCAAGGACATTTAACAGGATCAGTCTGCAGTGGCACAAACCCCTTGTTTTAAACAGCAGACAGTGTTTAAAATTCATCTTCACCAAAAGCATCCTGCTCTGAAGGGAGGTGTCCCCAGCTGAGCAGGAGCTTCCCTGGATTCCCTCACTCACCTCATCCCTGACAGTCTGGTACTGAGGCACCATGCTGATGGAGAGCTGCTTTCCATCCAGGGACATGGGGAAGCAGGTGTAGAATTTCACCATGGAATCTGCAGCCTTCCTGTTGATTTCCAGATACGCCTGAGAGAAAAACAAAAATTTAAAGGAAAACTGGAATTTATCAAAGGCGTCTCCCACCGATGCTTCCTGCACCTCATTTACACTCCTCACAGACTCCACTGCTGCTCCTCCAGGCAGAAACACCACCAAACCCCATGAAAATACCTTTTTGTGAGAGGACAGAATCAGCACATCCTTCAGGCCTCCAAAGGGCTTTGCCAGGTTGGAAACTTCCTCCACGGAATATCCCTTATCGGGCAGGTTGGAAACCAGGACCACACACAGGTCCTCGGGGTCCTGCAAGACACAAAGGTACTTTATATGGCACTGCTACTCCTTCCACCCTAAATCCCAGCTGGCTGCCCAGAGCTGGGGCTGCCCCAGCCCTGGAGGTGTCCAAGGCCAGGCTGGATGGGACTTGGAGCAACGTGGGCTGGTGGAAGGTGTCCCTGGAGGGGATGGGATTAGATGGGATTTAAGGTCCCTCTGCACCCAAACCACTCTGGGAGTGTGTTCTCACCAGAAATAAACAGGAAGGGGGTTAAATTGGACGTTTTCAGACATTACAGCAACACCTGGAAATGGCTGCAGGTGTGCTCCTGCAATTCCCACCCTCACACTGACCTTCCTGGCTGGATCTGTGGATTCCTCGCTCGGTGTGCCCGTTCCTGGAGGCTCTGAAAAACAGGGAAGGAGGAGTTCAGTGGTGCAGGTTTCTTTAAATACCTCAGAGCTTTAAGAACTTCCTGCATTGCCTTTTATCCCTTGTGAAAAATCAATATTAAATGTTTAACAGTGACAAATTGGTGAGACACAGACAGTGTTATGGAAATGCTCCCAGAAAGAACAGGTCCAATGTGGGAATGTCCAGCCTGGAGAAGAGAAGGCTCCAGGGAGAGCTGAGAGCCCCTTCCAGGGCCTAAAGGGGCTCCAAGAGAGCTGGAGAGGGACTGGGGACAAGGGATGGAGGGACAGGACAAGGGGGAATGACTTCAAACTGGGAAAATGGAGATTCGGGTGGGATATTGGGAAGGAATTCTTCCCTGTGAGCGTGGCAAGGGACTGGAATGAATTTCCCAGAGACGCTGTGGCTGCCCCTGGATCCCTGGAAGTGTCCAAGGCCAGGCTGGATGGGGCTTGGAGCAACCTGGGATAGTGGGAGGTGTCCCTGCCCATGGCAAGGGTGGAACTAGGCAGGATTTAAGGTTTCTCCCAGCCCAAACCATTCCATGATTCCAGGATTCTGTGACCTTTCCTTATCAGTACTATCTCAGGCACAGTAACTGAGAATTAATCCACACTTGAGCCAGGTTTAACACCCAGTCTGCTATGGATGAGTTACAGAACATGGGGAGAACAGGAATGACTGATCCAACGGGATTAAATCAGAGGTGGAGCTGCAAACAGAGCACCCCGAGAGCCTGGATCCACGGGGGTCAGTGCAAGTGTCCAAGTCACACTGAAAATTCCTGCTAGGACTGTCCTGGCTGCTGAAACACAGAAATCTCAGGGGTCTGCAGCCACTCTGGGGGCTTTCAGCCCCTTCACCACCCTGATGAACTCCCCAGTTCTGGCCCAGCCCCTGAACCCACTCTAACAGATTTTATTTCCTGGAATCCCGTGTCCTTTCCATTTCCTGGCTGGAAAGCAGCTCACGGAGCCCCCAGGAGCAGAGAGGTTTAAGACAACCTTGCAGTTTACCTGGTTTAATTAAAGCTTTATCAACCCCAGGCACATCCAGTGCCGGTGCCTGAGGGGGCTGGGATGGGCTCCCTGACAAACAAATAAATCCATAAAACACCTCCCTGTCCAACTGCACACCCCCCAGGGAACAGGGCAGGACAGACCCGGGCTTACCTGGCACAGGTGAGGGACTGGGCTGGCTCTCCACGGGCACTGCAGGCTCTGGGATTCCATCCTCCTCCGTGACACCCTTTGGATCTGACGGCTCCGCTTCCTCAGTTTCCATCCCGGGCTCTGCCGAGGGCTCGGGATCTCCATCCTCAGCTTGTTCTGGCAGGGACCAGCAGGAAAAGGCATTTGTTGTTTCTACAGGTCAATGAATCCATTTGCAGCAGCAGAATGAGCTGCACTGTGCATCTTCTGTCACACACTCAGAGGCCTCCCAATAATAAATCCCTGCTCCTCCTCAAACATGGACAGAAAACGGACATCCAGGGAAACCTCTGTCCCAGACTCACCCACTTCCCTGGTTTTTTGGCTATTCCCGACCTACAAACAGCCCTGACAATCCCTGCAAGGAGGGTGTTTGCCTGTGGAATGATCCACCGGTGGGCAAGGCCAGGAAAAGGGAGGAAACCTGCACTCCCAGCCCGGAGTGGCTGTGCTGGGAAGGGAAAAGCACCTCCTGCTTCCCCAGGGAAGAGGGAAAGTCCCCCCTCCTCTCACCTGCAGCACTCGGGGTTTTCTTCACCTTTCGTTCTCCTGGCACTGCTGATTTCTTGAGCTTTTCCTTTTTACCTACAAAAACACCCCAAAACCAGGTGTCAGCAGAAATGCTGATTAGGTGTGACTTAAAACCAATATAAAGTATTATACATACAACAAATATTATACACATACTACAGTAAAACAGCACAGCAATACTACACATGCATGCTAATAATAAATTAATTGTTGAGACAAATATTGCTTATCAATATTATAGGTAATATTGATATTATATTAATGTGAAGAAAAAGACATTATACATGCAATAATATATAATAATACCATAAAAGATGGAAAGTGATTATAATAACGAAGTATAATAGAAATAAAGTACAACAATAAAATAGAATATTATACATACAATAATATACACACACATGTACAATACATACACAAAAATCAGCTTAATCTGCATCAATTCAACTGATGTGACCAAAAAACCCACCCAAAACCTAATCCAGCAGTTCAGCCCCACAAAGATGCTGAGGAATGAATCAATAAATCTGTAAAACCCACAATTTCCCACAGAAATCATGGCTGCTCCCTAAGTGAGACTCGCTCAGGAAAGGCAATAAAATAAATCAATCGAGCCAATAAATTAATTAATAAAGACAACAGACAACCTCCCCCTCCCAGTCTCACCTGTCAGGGGTTTGGGGGTCTTGGTGCTGGTGGTTGGAACTTTTCTATTAGGAGAATAAAAAATAATCAGTTTTAAAGACAATTAGCAGATATTAAAACAGCTTTAAAAAGCTCAAACCCAGGAAAAAAAAAAAAAACCAAACAGATATGAGCCCATGTGGTTCCCAGGAAAAAAAAACAACCCCAAACAGGTATGAGCCCATGTGGTTCCCAGGAAAAAAAACCAACCCCAAACAGATATGAGCCCATGTGGTTCCCAGCCTTTATCATTAACTCTAATTTAGGCAAAGGCAACACTCACTTGGTACTTGCTGAAGTTTTTTTAACAGTCAGAACTCGTTTTTTTATGGTCTTTTTGACCTGGAATGGAAAGAAAAACAGTGACTGCAGCACTTGGACTTTATTTGTAAATATGTGCGGCCACATAAAAATCATTAATAATTATCAACAGTAATTAAGTGTATATAGAATATGGGTTGTGTTCTTCACTGTTCACCTGCTATTTTTCACATATGATCTCTACTTTTTATAAATCTGTTTGTGTAGATGTACACACATGTATAAATAGGATTATTCTTAAAAGTAGTATTAATAATTAATAGTATTTAACACATATATAAATACAGCTGGCATCTTTCACTGCTTGCTAAACTGTCATTATCCACAGATCTCTGTCAGCATTCACACGTTTGCATCCCAAATTTACCCAAGGAAAAGGCAAATCTGGAAGGAGGGAGTGCCTTTGCACATCTGTTTTTACCAAAGCAGGGGAATTCTGGAATGGAGAAGAGCACTTCCCATGGATTTTAAGCGGCTGTTTCTGCAGCTGAAGCCATTGACCCCTCGCTGGGTTTCCCGGGGTGTCTGGAGCAGAATTCCAGTTTGGGGTGTGAGGCTCCCATCCCCGGGGTGTCTGGAGCAGAA